TTTGACCCAGCAATGCCATATTCGGTATATACCCAAAGGATTACAAATCATTGTATTATAAAGACACATGCACACGTATGTTCATAGCAGCACTGTTTACAATAGCAAAGACTTGGAACCAACCCAAATACCCATCGATGATAGGCTTGACAAGGAAAATGTGGCACATATTCACCATGGAATACTACTTAGCCATAAAAAATGATGAGTTTGTGTCCTTTGTAGGGACATGGGTGAATCTGAAAACCATCATTCTCAGCAAACTGACACAAGAACAGAAAATCAAACACCACATGTTCTCACTCATAGGTGGGTGTTGAACAATAAGAACACATGGATACAGGGACGGGAGTCTCACACACTGGGGTCTGTTGGGGGGGGGCAAGGGAGTAACCACAGGGGAGTGGGGTGGTCCGGGAGGTTTACCATGGGAAGAAATGCCAGATGTAGGTGATGAGGGGATGGAGAAAGCAAACCACATTTCCATGTGTGTACCTATACAACAATCATGCATGATCTGCACATGTACCCCAGAACCTAAAGTACAATAATTTAAAAAAGCATGAAACCTCCCCCAATTCAAAATTTTGATACTAAAAAAGCTTAGTGATATATAAGAGAATTCCAAAAAACAATAAAAAGAAATAAGAAAAACAATTTAGGATACAAATGAGAGATTTATCAAAGCGATAGATATAATAACAAGAAACCAAACAGAAATCTTAGAAATAAAGAATTCATTTTATGAAATACTAGATTCAAAAGTTACAACAATATACTAGATCAAGCAGATGAAAGTCTCAGAACTTGAAGACAATTCTTTTGAAATAACCCAGTCAGACAACAGTATAGAAAAAAAAAGAATAAAAAAGAATGAGCAAAACCTTCATGACATATGGGACCCATAAAGTGACAAATCTTTGAATTATCACAGTTTCAATAGGCAAAGAGAGAATGAAAGGGTTAGCAAACCTATTAAACAAAATAATAGATAAAAATTTCCCAAGTAAAGAGAGGTAAACCTCCAGATGCAAAAAGCCCAGAGGTTGCCAAACAGATACAATGCAAAAAGCTCTTCTTCACAGCACACTGTAGTTAAACTTTCAAAAATCAAGGACAAAGAGAGAATTCTAAAATTAACAAGAAAAAAGCATCTAGTCACTTATAAAAGAATACCCATTAGACTAACAACAGATTTCTCAGCAGAAACCTTATAAACTGGAGAGAATTGGATGATATATTCAAAGGGCAGAGGGAAAAAAATGTCGGCCAACGATATTAAACCTTACAAAGTTTTCCTTTATAAATAAAGCAGAAATGAACTATTTTCCAGAAAAACAATAGCTGAGAAAATTCATCACTGCTAGAATGGCTCTACAAAAAACACTTAAGGGAGTACTACACATGGAAGCAAAAGCATGCTATCTACCATCATGAAAACACATGAAAGTATAAAACTCATTAATAGAGCAAACCTACAAATAAGGAAGAAAAAGGAATAAAATATATCACTACAGAAAACTACCAAAGCACAGTGAAAGACAATAAGAGAAAATGGAATGAAGAATATTAAAAACAACCAGAAAACAATTAACATTATGACAGGAACAAAACCTCACATACTGTATTAACAATAACCATCAGTGTGAATGGATTAAATTCTCCACATAAAATATATAGAATATTTGAATGATTATAAAACACGACTGAAGAATATGCTGCCTACAGGAAATACATTTTACCTGTAAAGGCATATATAGATTGAAAGTATAGGGACATAAAGACATATTTCACACAAACAGAAAGTAAAAATAAGCAGGAGTAGTTATGCTTAGAAAAAACAGACTTTAAGTCAAAATAGTAATGACAACAACAATATCATTATATCATGATAAAAAGAGAAATCCATGGAGAGGATGTGATAATTATAAACATACATGCACCCAATTGGAGAACCCATATTCATGAAGCAAATATTACTAGATTTAAAGAGAGAGAATGACTCAATATAATAGTAGTGAGGGATTTCAACACCCTACTCTTAGTAGACAGGTCATCTAAAACACTGTATTTATTTATTTATTTATTTATTTATTTATTTTGAGGCTGGAGGGTTATAAGACTGGAAAATTTTTGTATTTTTCATAGAGACAGGGTTTTACTATGTTTCCCAAGCTGGTATTGAGCTCCTGGGCTCAAGTAATCCACCAGCCTCAGCCTCCCAAAGTTCTGGGATTACAGGTGTGACCCACCATGCCTGGCTGAAGCACCAGATTTAAACCAGGCTTTAAATCAAATGGATCTAACAGACATTTACAAAATTTGTCATCTAACAGCTGTAGAATACACATTCTTCTCAAAACCACATGGAACATTCTATAGAATAGACAATGTGTTAGGACACAAAACAAGTCTTAACAAACTTTGGAATATTTAAGTCGTATGAAGCATCTTGTCAGATCACAATGGAAAAAAATTAGAAATCCATACAAAACAAATTTGGAAACCATACGAACACATGGAAATTAAACAACATAGTTCAGAAAGATCATTGGGTCCATGAAGAAATTAAGATGAAAATTAAAAAGTATTGAAACAATGAAAATAAAAATACAACATACCAAAACCTATGGGATACAGCAAAAGCAGTGATAGAAGGAAGTTTACAGCAATAAATGCCTATATCAAAAAAGTGGAAATATTTAAAATTTTAAATCTTTTAAATTTAAAATAAATATTTTAAAACTGAAAACAATCTAACAATGTACCTTAAGAAGCTAGAAAAGCAGCAACAAAACAAACCCAAAATTAGCAGAAGGAAAGAAATAATAAAGTTCAGAGCAGAACTACACAAAATAGAGGAAAAAATATAACACATCAATGGAACAAACAGAAATTTAAAAAAAATTGATAAATTGCACGCTAGACTAACCAAGAAAAGAAGGGCAAAGACAAATATGAACAAAATTAGAAATCGAAAAGAAGACATTACAAGTGGTATTAGAAAAATGCAAGGAGTCATCAGGGATTATTATGAAAACTATATACTAACAACTAGAAAATCTAGAGGAACTGGGTAAATTTCTGGAAACATACAACCTAACAAGACTGAATCAGGAATAAATAGAAAACCTAGATGGAAAAGTAAAGAGTAGTGAGATTGAATTAATAATTGTCTCCCAACAAAGGAAACTCCACAACTGGATTCACTGCCAAATTCTACCAAACATATAAAGAAGAACTAATGCCAACACTTCTCAAACTATTCCAAAAAGTTCAAGGTATAAGAATACTTCCTGACTCATCCTATAAGACCAGCATTACTCTAATAACAAAATCAGAAAAGAACACAATACATTTAGAAAAATACAGGTCAATATTCCTGATGAACAGAGACACAAAACTTCTCACCAAAATACTAGGAAACAAAATCCAACAGCACATCAAAAAATTAATCCACCATGATTAAGCATAATTTATACCAGGGATTCAAGGATGTTTCAACACATGCAAATCTTTGAATGTCATGAATCACATCAAAAGAAAAAGAAACAAAAAGCATGTGGTCATCTCAATAGATGCAGAAAAAGCATTTGATAAAGTTCAGTATCACTTCATCATTAAAAACTCAACAAACTTGGCATGGAATGAACCTTTATTATTTCAAAATAATAAGGTCCATATACAACAAACTCACAGCTGGAATCATAGTGAATGGGGAAAATTTGAAAGCCTTCCCTCAAAGAATTGGAACAAGACAAAAATGGCCATGTTTACCACTTTTATTTAACACACTACTGGAAGTTCTAGGCATAAGAATCAGGGCTAGCAATCAGGCAAGAGAAAGCAATAAAAAGAATCCAAATTGGAAAAGATAAAGTCAAATTATTTGTCTTTGTAGACAACATGAACTTACTTTTAAATAAATGACAATGCTATACCAAAAAACTCTTAGAACTGATGGATAAATTTAGTAAAGTTGCGGGTATAAAAACATACAAAAATTAAGAGCTTTTCTATACACTAATAATGAAATGTCCATAAAAGACATCAAGAGGGCATTCCTATTTACAATGATCACCCCCTAAAGAAAACACCTCAGAATAAATATAGCCAAAGAGACAAAAGATCTCTACAATGAAAACCTCAAAACATTTGTGAAAGAAATTGAACAGGATGCAAACAAATGAAAAATCATCACATGTTTATGGATCAGAGGAGTTAATATGAAAATGACCATACTGCTCAAAGCAACCTTCAAATTAAATGCATTTCTCCTCAAAATACCAATGTCATTTTTCACAGAATTAGAAAAAAAAATCCTAAAATTTATATTGAACAAAAAGAGTCTGACTAGCCAAAGCAATCCTGAGCATAAAAAAAAATAAAATAAAATAAAATAAAATAAAAACAAAGCTGGAAGAATCACACTACCGGGTTTCAAAATATAAGGCTATATTAACCAAAACAGCATGGTACTAGTATAAAAATAGACACATACCTTGAAAGAACAGAATAGAGAACACAGAAATAAATCCACAGACTTACAGCCAATCAATTATTACAACGTCTTCAAGAATTTTTATTGGGGAAAGAGGATACCCTCTTAAACAAATAGTGTTGGAAAACTGGATAATGATAATCAACAAAGTGAAACTGGAGCCCTATCTCTCACTATGTACAAAAACTAATTCAAGATAGATTAAAGACAAACATAAGACCTGAAACTATAAAACAACTAGAAGAAAACCTAGGAAAAACTCCTCAGCACCTTGGTCTAGTAATTTCATAACTAAGTCCTCAAAAGCACAGGCAACAAGACCAAAAATAGACAAATGGGATTATATTCAACTAAAAAGCTCCTGCACAGAAAAGAAAGAAATCAATAGGGTAAAGAAATAACCTCTTGAATAAGAGGAAATATTTGCAAACTACTCATCTGACAAGGAATTAATATCCAGAATATACAAGGAACTCAAACAACTTAAAAAGGTAAATAATCCCAACAAGATGTGGGCAGAGGACATGAATACACATTTCTCAAAAGGAGACATACAAATGACCAAGAGCTATATGAACAAATGGTCAAAATCATGAATTCTCAGGGAAATGCATATCAAAACCACAATGCGATATCATCTTACCATAGTTAGGATGGCTATTCCTAAAAAGACAAAAATAACAATTGTAGGCAAGGACGTGGTGAAAAGGGAACTCTTTTACAGTGTTGATGGGAATGTAAATTACTATATCCCCTATGGAAAACAGTATAATGATTTATATCCAAAGATTATAAATCATTCTATTATAAGTACACATGCACATGAATGTTCATTGTGGCACTGTTTACAATAGCAAAGACTTGGAACCAACCCAAATGCCCGTCGATGATAGACTGCACAGGGAAAATGTAGCACATATACACCATGGAGTACTATGCAGCTATAAAAGGCAATGAGTTCGTGTCCTTTGTAGGGACATGGATGAACCTGGAAACCATCATTCTTAGCAAACTGACACAAGAACAGAAAATCAAACACCACATGTTCTCACTCATAGGTTGGTGTTGAACAATGAGAACACATGGACACAGGAAGGGGAATATCACACACTGGTGTCTGTGGTGGGGAGCTAGGGGAGGGACAGTGGGGATGGGGAGTTAGGGGGATAACATGGAGAGAAATGCCAGATATAGGTGATGGGGAGGAAGGCAGAAAACCACATTGCCATGTACGTACCTATGCAAAAATCTTGCATGTTCTTGACATGTAGCCCCAAACTTAAATGCAATAAAATATATTTTTTTAAAAAACTAAAAATAGAACTACCGTGCAATCCAACAATCGCTCTGTGGGTATTTATCTAAAAGAAAAGAAATTAATATATCAAAAAGATGCATGCACTCCCATGTTTATTGCCATACTATTCACAATAGCAAAGATATGGGCAACCTACATGTTTATTAATGCACAAATGGATAAAGAGGATTTGGTCTTTATATATTTGACCATAAAAAAAGAATTTAATCATGTTATTTGCAGCAATATGGATGGAACTGGAGTTCATTATGTTAGGTAAAATAAGCCAGGCACAGAATGACAAATTTCACATGTTCTCACTCATACATGGGATCTAAACAAGTAGACCACAAAGAGATAAAAAGTGAAATGATGGATACCAGAGACTGGGAAGTGTGTATGGGTTGGTGAAAGAGAGGCTGGTTAATGGGTACAATAATACAGCTAGATAGAAGAAATATTGTCTAATGTTTGATAGCAGAATACAGTGATTATAATTAACAACAATGCATTGTATTTTTTAAAAAATAGAAGACTTGAAATGTACCCATATATAAATGATAAATATTTGGGTGATGGACATTCTATATATCCTGTGTATTAGGGTTCTCTAGAGGGACAGAACTAGTAGGATAGATGTATATATAAAAGGATTTTATTAAGGAGTATTGACTCACACAATCACAAGGCGAGGTCCCACAATAGGCCATCTGCAAGCTGAGGAGAGAGGAGGCCAGTCTGAATCCCAAAATCTTAAAAGTGAGAAAGCCAACAGTGCAGCCTTTAGTCTGTGGTTGAAGGTCCAAGAGTTCCAAAGCTGAAGAACTTGGCATCTAATGTTTGAGGGCAGAAAGCATTTGGCATGGGAGAAAAATGTAGGCGGGAAGACTAAGCTAGTCTAGTCTTTTCACGTTCTCCTGCATGCTTTTATTCTGGCCACACTGGCAGCTCATTAGATTGTGCCCACCCAGATTGAGGGTGGGTCTGCCTTTCCCAGCCCACTGACTCAAATGTTAGTCTTCTTTGGCAACATCTTCATAGACACACCCAGGATCAATACTTTGCATTCTTCAAGCCAATCAAACTGACATTCAATATTAACCATCCCACCCTGACATTATCATTACATATTCTACACATGTAATAAATTTCACATATAAACCATAAATATGTACAAATACAAGGTATCAAAAATTTAAATAAGAATAAATGTATAGACTCCAATGCTAAGCTACATGAAATGTGAAAAATCAGGGAAACATGACACTTCGAAGCAACACAACAAATTTCCAGTAACCCACCCAAAATAAGTGGAGACTTATGAACTGTCTGATGGTGAATTCAAAATAATAAGTCTAAAGAAGCTCAGCAAGCTACAAGAGAACACAGATAGACCATTCAACATCAGGAAAACAATACATGAACAAAAAGTCACAAAAACATAGAAATTATAAAAAAAAAAAAAAGACCCAAACAGAAGTTCTGGATATGAAGAATACAGTGGCAAAACTAAAAAATGCAATAGGGGACTTCAACAGAACAAAAAACCTTTTTTATGAAGAAAATCTCAGACTCATATAGTATTACTGGTGAGTTCTATCAGATACATAAGGGAGAAATAAAACGCCAATTTAAAACAAGTTTATTCAAAAACAGAGACTGAATGATGCTTCTTAACTCATTTTTATGAAACCAGCATAACTTTGTTGCCAAAATCTGACCCAAAAACTTGCAGGAAAAGAAAGAGTATATATCATATATGCATGTTTATATGCTGAAGCCCTAACTCACAATCTGATGGTATTTGGAGAAGAGGCCTTTGGGAAGTAGTTAGGCTTAGATGAGATCATGAGAGTTGAGCCCCAATGAAGGTATTAGTGCCTTCATAAGAAGGGGTAGAGATACCAGAGATCCTTCTCTCTGCCATGTGAGGACACAGGCAAGAGGGTAGCTATCAGCTGGACACGGTGGCTCATGCCTATAATCCTAGCGCTTTGGGAAGCTGAGGCAGGTGGATCACAAGGTCAGGAGTTCGAGACCAGCCTGACCAACATGGTGAAACCCTGTCTCTACTAAAAATACAAAAATTAGCTGGGTATGGTGTCACATGCCTGTAATTCCAGCTACTCAGGAGGCTGAGGCAGGAGAATTGCCTGAATCTGGGAGGCAGAAGTTGCAGTGAGCCAAGATCATGCCACTGCACACTAGCATGGGTGACAGAGTGAGACTTCATCTCCAAAAAAAAAAGAAAAAGAAGAAGAAGAAGAATGTAGCTATCTATAAACCTGAAATGCAAAAGAGAGCCCTCACTAGAAACCAAATTTCTGTTGTTTAATTCACTCAGTCTGTGGTATTTTGTTATAGCAGCCTGAACTGACTAAGATGATAGGGATCCTAGAATCACTTTTTGTTAAAGTCAATTTTGATGTATAATCTAATAAGAAAATATAAGCCTATGGCCTAGTAGAAATAGTATGTGAGCTGATTTAATTTCATATCCTACCTAAAATTTGCTCCAGAGTACAACATAACCTTTCCCTCAGAAAATCTGGGCAAGAGTTCACCTATGATCTGTCCAGCACAGAAGGCATGAGGGGAGAAGGTGTGGTCCAGCACATCCACTTCCAGTCAGTGATCCTGCATTTATAACATGTAAATATCTCCTCAGTAAGAAGAGAAGGCAGCCCTCAGTTCCTCACATTCTCATACCATTTGTTCTGAACTGTTTACCTCCATCTTTTGTGCTCTCTACCTCCTGCTCCATCTCTGAACTTCTTAAGCCCAGATTTCTCCACTTGTCTCTTATGTAAACCCTGATGCCCCTTCCTCACATCTGTTACTTGATGCTGGACCTTAAGCATGGACCTCTGCCTTCTTTCCTCAATTACATAACCTCTCTGTGTCTGAGGTTCCTCTTCTATGAAAAGGGAATAAAAATAGCATGAGTTTGGCTTCTGAAGTCTAGTGGCTTTAAGTATGATCATATTTTTTAGAGTTTGAACGTAACTTTATTAAGCTTTCAACAACAAAAATACAATCACTTACAATGGAACAAAACAAGAAAGGCAATGGCATCAAATTTGGCATTTAGATTATTGACCCAACTAATTAACAGAAACTCTAAGTTTCCAGTATTAAATAATGGGCCAAGGATCTTGCTTCACAATGATCTGGATAACTGTTAACAACTCAGTTAGTATCATAAGCTTTAAAAATGTTGTGGATAATACAATTCATCTTATCATCCAAAAGAGTGGATCTGGCTTTTCCACTTACTTATTCCCATGGTCAAATATCTGCCTTTCATTCAACGCGTTTCTATATCTATACAGCAAGGGAAGAAAAACATTTTCCTGACACTTAAGTCAGGGCTGATGCTCACAAGTGTCACTTTACTAACGTCCTCAAGAAAAATTATCTGGGGGGAAGGCAGAGGAAGGACTTTCAGAAGCTGTGGCTACATAAACCAAACAGAAAGATATATTCTTAGTCAATTTGATTAATATAGGCATAAAATTCTCCAAATTAGACAAACTGTCAATTCGTTCCCCATTGATAATGTTCCTGGACCAAACTGAGGGACAGGCTGCTATTTCTCATGGCCTAATAACAACATGCAGATGAACTGGGCAAGGACAGAGTTTTTATTTCTGTAACCAGTTACAGGGAGAAGGCCCAGAAAATATTGCCAGACAAACTGAAAATTACGAAGTTTTCCAGAGCTTATATACCTTCTAAGCTATATGTGTAAGTGTGCATTCATCTAAAGACATAAGTGATTAACTTCTTTTAATATATAACTAAGATAGGAGTTCTGAAGACCTTCCTCTGGAGCCTTAGTTTATTTACTTACTCTAGATGCATCCAAGTGCTGGGGTGATTACCCTTATCTTGTCTCCTGCTAAATCATGGAAATTTGGGAAATTCCTTCAGACTCCCAATAAACTTGTTTGTGGAGGCCTGGGGAGTTTCTTCAGACACCCAATAAAACTTATTTAATCCTAAATGGGACTGTTAAGAATTCCTTCATTATCTTGTCATGCTTCAACGCCCAGGAAAGACCTGGGCAAAACTCTTGGTGGGCTTTCGTTACATTCTAACATCTGTATAGGGGCACTGGCCTTTCAGTTTTTAATATTTAACTTAACCACTCAGTCAGTGCTGAAACAGCTGTTATGTAGGCCTGCATTAATGAGACCTGACCTGCCACAATAAGACAGCTGTCCTAAATTGTTAAAATAATTGTCTTCATCTACTTTGCTCTGCTGATGAAGGTTTCAACTTTGTGTTCTCCAGAAAAGTATTTGGTCTTTAATCCATCTCTTCCTCTGAAATATTTTTGTATAATCTGGGCATTGGGACAGAAAGATAATGAATATTTTCAGTAACAAGAAGAGACCTTCCTCTGAAACATTTAATACAGCCAAACAACACTTAGACCTTTGGGGAAAAAATGAGATATTTGGTATCTCACATATGACCTCACAGATTATTTATTATTGGCTTCCTTTTCTTACCTTAGCAGTTCTCTAACACCACACACCTTTCTCTTACAAATAAACACAGGATATTCAGGCCCCAAAAGCAGCAAGAAACAGTTGGAAAAAGTTTTTTTTTTAAGTTAAGCTCTTGTGTTGATAATAAGAAGAAACTCTTCTCTCATCTTCTATCCTCTTCTCACACCAATTTTCTTAAAACTCCCTTACATTTGACTCTAAAATTAGCTCTACCATGTATATTCCAAGAATGCTTTGACTCAGTGTAGCCCCCTTCCTCTTCAGTGGTGTTAATCAGATGGTATCAGGAAAAATCAACTCACAGATGTTTTCTCTACTCATTACACAACAGTAATAGGCAATAATAACTAAATAAATAAATGTAATATCAAATATTAACAATAAATAAATGTGTGGTGTAGATAGGGATGGAGACTGTGTTAG